GCACTTTAAAAACTTGTCTCCTTTTAGCTGTCTGCCATTATACGATGTAATTGAATGGGACTTTTTTATTTTATTGTTTCTGATCAGACCCTGCCTGTATTTTATCATTTTCCATCTTATTGTCCTCACTAGGACATAGAGATTCTCTATTAATAGATCCTCCCCTAAGGGATGTCCAAATCATGTGCTCCTCTGCACCTGTCAGCTTTCCCCCATCCTTCCTGTATAGGTTCCCCCTTTCCCAAAAGTTTCCCCAGTTCCTAATAAACCCCTCCTCCCTCCACCATCGTCTCATCCATGCATTGAGACTCTGCAGTTCTGCCACCCTTACTTCTGCGCTGCGTTCAGATCTGAGTGGTGGTTGTTAGCTGGGCACCCAGCTCTGAAGGCAGCACCCCGCCAACAGCAGCGCAATTGTAAGGGTGGCAATACCATACCATGCCACCCTTACTTCTGTGCTGCTGGCTTCAGAGCTGGGCAGCTGGAGAGTGGCGGCTGCTGACTGAGGGCCCAGCTCTAAAGGCAGCAGCGCAGAAGTAAAGGTGTCAATACCATACCATGCTGTCTGTACTGCTGCTGCTGGCGGCGGCTCTGCCTTCAGAGCTGGGATCCCGGCCAGCAGCCGCCGCTCTCCAGCTGCCCAGCTCTGAAGGCAGCGCTACCGCCAGCAGCAGCGCAGAAGTAAGGGCAGCAGTACCGCAAGCCCACCCCTCCTACAGTAACCTTGCAACTCCCCTACAGCTCCTTTTTGGGTCAGGACCCCTACAATTACAGCACCCTGAAATTTCAGATTTAAATAGCTGAAATCATGAAATTTACCATTTTAAAAATCCTATGACTGTGAAATTGACCAAAACGGACTGTGAATTAGATAGGGTCCTACCCCTCACCATGTCACTCACAGCGCCTCACCCATCCTGATAGACAGCTGGCAGGATCTCCCTCCCCAAATTTACTTCCCCCTGAGCGTGTGCATGGCAGAATCCTATTTCTCCCTTGTGGGCACCTGCTGTTCCGTGATCCGTTACCACTGGGTTATTCCACTTCCTCTTCCAAGCATGCAGGCTTCCCTCGTCATTGCTGTGTTGTTCATCTCTCTCTCTAGCTTCACACCGTAGTGTCATCAGGCAGCGTTGTTCAGAGAACTGACTGCTTCTGTAGCTCCCCAGGGCCTCACCGCTGCTGGAAGGAATCATAGAAATGTAGGGCTGGAGGGGACCTCGAGAAATCATCAAGTCCAGCCCCCTGGGCTGAGGCAGGACCAAGTAAACCTAGACCATCCCTGATAGGTGGGATAAGCCTTCATTTCTATTACACGCGCACACACACACATGCGCAGTCCACCTGCAACCACTATATTGTGAAGCTAGAGCGAGGAAATATGGGGTGGATTTGTGGGGAGGGGACAGAGGACACTCCATGTTTGAAAGATGAGGAGGAATAACCTGGCTGTAATGGATCAGAGCGCTCCACGTGCCCCCTTCGCACTTCAGAGAAGGAAAATTTACACAGAGGTCAATTTTTTTACCTTTCTCGGGTCTGGTCTACACTGGGGGCGGGGATCGATCTAAGTTACACAACTTCAGCTACGTGAATAACGTAGCTGAAGTCGACATACTTAGATCTACTCACCGCGGTGTCTTCACTGTGGTGAGTCGACTGCTGACGCTCCCCCGTCGACTCCACCTGCGCCTCTCGCTCCGGTGGAGTACCGGAGTCGACGGGAGAGCGCTCGGCGGTCAATTTATCGTGTCTAGACTAGACGCGATAAATCGACCCCCGCTGGATTGATCGCTGCCCGTCGATCCTGCGGGTAGACAAGCCCGCATTCTCCCCAACCATTATTGTGCTGTGTCTCTCTTCTTTGCTATGCCCCTTTCTTTCCTTTCACCCCAGCAGAGGGGATGACTCCTGTCCGGGTTCTCTCTCTTTACTCCAGCGGGCGACAGGATGGTGAGAGAGGATGAGGAAGAGAATCCACGGCAGGCAGGCTGTAAGGAGCCACAACCCCATGGGGCATCATCCAGATGCTCCAAAGAAGACATTGCATCAAGTCTCGAGCAGGGAAAAGCCTGTGAGAGTCAGCACAGGGCAGAAAGGCAGCAGGGAAAGCAGCCAGGGAAGAAAGGGTGTCAAGCCATTAGCTCTAGTAGAGGTGGAAAGGACATCCTGGAAACCTCAATGCAGCAAAGAACCCATACAAGAGAAAAAAAAACCCCACCCACCGAATGTGAGAAAAGATTCAATATGAGCAAACAGCTTGGTAGATCTCAGCTCCCCCACTCGGCAGAGAAGCCCTATAAATGCCAGGAGTGCGGGAAAAGTTTCAATCAGAGCTCCAACCTTATTCTGCACCAGCGAACGCACACGGGGGAGAGGCCCTACAAATGCCTCGACTGCGGGAAAAGTTTCAATCGGAGCTCGAGCCTCGTCGTGCATCAGAGAATCCACACGGGAGACAAACCCCACAAATGCACCAAATGTGGGAAGAGTTTCATTCAGAGCTCCAACCTGACGACGCACCAAAAAATCCACACGGGAGAAAAAAACTGTCAGTGCCCAGAGTGTGGGAAAATGTTCAGCGACAACTCAGCCCTGATTAAGCACCGAAGAATCCATTCGGGACAGAAACCCTATAAATGCCCGGAATGCGGGAAAGGGTTTAGTGACAGCTCAACCTGTATTCGACACCAGAGAACCCACACGGGAGAGAGACCCTACAAATGCCTGGATTGTGGGAAAAGCTTCAATCTGAGCTCCAACCTAGTTACGCACCGGAGAATCCACACGGGGGAAAGACCCTATAAATGCCTCGACTGTGGGAGAAGCTTTAGTCAGAACTCGCATCTGATTAAACATCAGAAAGTCCACACGAGGCTGAAATCTTGAATGCGGGAGCGGTTGCAGTCGGGGCTTTGATTGGGTTTGGAATCAGCAAATCCATACAGGGAAGAAACTTCCTCGATGTCCTGAGAAGGGAAAATGTTATGGGGGTGGGGGAATGCAATCAATGGTATTATTTTTGGGGGGGGGGAAGAACTTAGACATATGAATGCTTGCTGGGAAGGGAGGAGAATTTTTGAGTGGGGAGGGATGGGGAAGACAGGCATAAAGTGGCTTGACTTGGTGCGAAACGTGACAATCCTGCAGTGATCTGGCCTTCCATCCGCCGTTCGTTCTATCGAAAAGCGGCGCGGCCACGGTGGCCGTCTCGCCGCGATGGAGAAAAAAGCTCCAGCAGGGTGTGTGCCCTGACTCTCCCCGGTACCATCCCCGGGGCCACCCCGGACATTGGTGGCTTCGCAGGATTGAGCCAGATCTGAGAACTTCACTCCACGACGTCTGGGACGACACCATTGACTGAGGTCACAGGCTGGTGCAGCAGTCCCTGGTGGACTGGGTGTGTTTGATGAAGATGTTTGATGGCTCAGGGCTTCAGCATGGGAAGGGAGGGATTATGGGACAGGAGAAATGAGGATGAGTGATAGGGATGGGGACAAGGGCCAAGGAGAGGTGTGGGGGGGCCAGGAGGAGGGGGATGTGGGGGGAAAATGACAGGATTGAGGGAACTAGAGCCAGGGGTGTCTGTCAGCATCAAATTCTCTCTTCCCATGTGTGTCGTGATCTATAGGGGCTGCCTTTCTTGGGGGAGGGGGAGTGGAGGGGGTCTGAGCCGCTCTCCCTACCTTTGAATGTGGACAGGGATGTGGGGTCCATGTCCCCCTAGGGGGTGGGTCTGATTTCCCCCTCCCTGTTCCCCCTCATGTGACCCTTGCGCCTCTGGGGATGTCTCTGCCCCCATCCCTGCCTCACTTATATAAGATGGGATCTGGGGAGAGGGCTGTCTCTTGGGGGTGTCTGAGCCCCTCTCCCTGCCCCCACTCATGGGATTAGGGGCCTTGTCCATGGCGGGGTCAGAGCTCCTTCCCCCCCACGTGAGCCAAGATTGGGGGGGGTCCCCTCTTCGACTGAAGGGCTCTGCCCCTCACCATATGAGCTGGGTCGAGGGGGACGGGGCCCTTGTGGTGGGGAGATAAGAGGCGTGCTCGGAGCATGCCCCGAGAACACACGCTGCGGACACGGGGGGCAGTGAGGAGAGCTCATTGGGGCTCAGGTTCAGGGAGCTAGCTCCTTGTCCCGCCTCTTCCGTCCATGGCCCCGCCCACACTCCACCCCAGGCCCTGCCTCTGCTCCGCCCCCTCCCCCGCTCTAGTTCACACATTCCTCCTCTCCTCCCCTGCAAGGCCTCCACTGCCCACAGGGACACGGCGGGCCGTGGGGGCCTCGTGGGAGAGGAGGTGTGGAGGAGAGAAGGGACTCAGCCAGGCAGTGGTGGGCGTGGGGACCTCGGGGAAGGGGCGGAGCAGGGGCGGAAAGAGGCAGAGCACAGGCGGGGCCACCACAGCCCAGGTGGCAGGGCGACACCAGCTGTGCCAGGGGAGGCCTATTATACCCACCACCTATGCTACCCGCTTTTTCAGTGCACACGTAGCTTCTTATCTACTAATGGCTTAATGGGACAGGAAGGGGAGAGTGAGCTAAAAACGGTGTGTGTGTGTGTGGGGTGTATGTTGTTTGAGGCGGGAGACACAGTAGCCTTCTCTCACATGCTTAAAGTTAGGGCTGGTCCACACTAACCCCCCACTTCGAACTAAGATACGCAACTTCAGCTACGTTATTCACGTAGCTGAAGTCGAACTATCCGGTTCGAACTTACCACGGGTCCACACACGGCAGGCAGGCTCCCTCGTCGACTCCGCATACTCCTCTCACCGAGCAGGAGTACCGGCGTCGACGGCGAGCACTTCCGGGATCGATCTATCGCGTCTAGACAAGACGCGATAAATCGATCCCAGAAGATCGATTACTTACCGCCGGACCCGGAGGTAAGTATAGACGTACCCTTACTGTCAGAGGCATGTCATAAAGCTGCCAGGATTTTGGGACCTAGCCCGTGTCTGTGATTTCTCTCCCTCACCCTGTTTGCAGCGACGCACTCCAAATATTTCAAAGCACGACTATTATCCCTATTCCACGATCGCAAAATGCACAGGGTGCGGGCGGAGCACTTAGGAATCACATAACGACCGTGTGGCCTAGTGGAGAAACCACCGGGCTCGGACTATTCCTGGGTCTGCCCCTGGCCCACGGGGTGACCTTGGGCAAGGCCCGTCAGCTCCCCGTGCCTCAGCTTCCCATCTGTAAAATGGGGGTCATTCTTGGGGGTTTACTGATGTAAAGCTCTGTTTAAAAGCTGGCTCTTTTTGTGCTTCTCTAGCCCCGGCAGCGTATCAGCTGTTAATATTGGTGCAAACATCAACAGACTAAATGACCCCTCCTCCGATATTTTTCTGTTCAAAAAGCTAGGAAATTCACTGCCAAAAAACTTCGTTAACACAGGCTAAGGCTGCCTGGTGATAACTTGTGCCCTTGCCGAAGGCAGAATTCAGGGGGAAAAATCCTTCTGAAAACCAGGCAATACAGCGTTAAGGTACACGCCCATGCAACCTTAGCTCTTCCCCCCTGGAGCTGGCAGCATCCAGGGGAAAGTATCTGCACCTACTCACTGTGTTAGGGGTAGCTGTACTGAAAGGTGGGAGATCCCTATTCAAATCCCTTTTCCCCACCCAGACAGAGGGGGGAATTGGCCTGGGGTGTCCCACGTCCTGGGTAACTGCTCTAGGCTAAAAGTTATAAGAGAGTCGTGCCCCTCCCAACAGCTGTTTTGGGTGCAGTTAGGAGAGATCTGATCATGAATACGGCTGTTGTGACAATTGGCCTATAACTCTTGCCGACTTAGGAGTTCACTGTGGAAAGTAGGTCAAGTTATTTTCAATAGAATATGTTCTAAACAGATCATAGAATCATAGAATATCAGGGTTGGAAGGGACCTCGGGAGGTCATCTAGTCCAACCTGCTGCTCAAAGCAGGACCCATCCCCAGACAGATTTTTGCCCCCCGATCCCTAAATGGCCCCCTCAAGGATTGCACTCACAACCCTGGGTTTAGCAGGCCAATGCTCAAACTACTGAGCAGATGCAAGAGAAGCAGCCGGAGAGATTAAGTAAGTCCAAACAACATAGGGCAAGTTGATGCGATACAAGGCCTGTATTGAAATTATGCTGGGTGAAAGCAGGAGAGGTGTAGACGGAAGTTAATAAGCCAATATTGGTGAGACAGATATTAGGCCTAATTGGTGGGGAAAATAAGGAGGGTGATGAACTCTGCCTCCCAATTTTTTTCCCTTCTGGAGTTAGGAGTAGAAGGTGTGAGCTCTCTTCTCCCGTCCCAGCTTGCTTCGGCTCATCTCATCTTCCCTCAGCTCATCCCCTGACCTGCCAGTGCTTCATCTCATCTCGACTCATCTAAAGGACTTGCTCTTCTTTAGGGAACTTTGTTTTCACCTGCGAGTGCTGAAAGTCATCTCATTATCCTGACGTCCAGATCTCAGCCCACCAGTGGGGAGATCGAATTACCAGCACCAGGAAGGTGCATGAGATCCTGTATTGTATTCCCTTCCTTTGTTGTGTTGTTTTCTGCCCCACTGTTTCTTTCCTCTCATCCTACCTCGCTCTCTTGGCTTCTTGTCAAATCCTGAAGTCAAGTAATCCTCCAAACCTGCCTTGTCGAAGGAGAAAGGATGCCATCAGATGACAGCCCTGACCAGTTCATAACTAACCGGATCACACAGCTGGTATTGTGGTTCACTTGCCAGACAAAGCATCCACTTGTAACTAACCAGTAGTCCAAAAACCTCCACAAAAGCCATATTTCACCCATCTTCTCTGTCCCGTCTCTCCTCCACCCTGTCTGTCTCTGTTCAGAACAGGATACGTGAATGCCATTCCAATCAGGACTGAGACTAAAATTAACCATCTCCCTTTCAGCAAAGAAAGGTTGCCCTGAAAACAAGAGACTCTAAAGCAGAGAGGTTTCGATAAGCTCTACATTTGTTTTGTGTAATCACTCGACTGCAGTTTCCAGATAAAGGCCATACATAAAAACATAAGAACAGCCATACTGGGTCAGACCAAAGGTCCATCTAGCCGAGTGTCCTGTCTTCCAACAGTGGCCAATGCCAGGTGCCCCAGAGGGAATGAACACAACAGGTGATCATCAAGTGATCCATCCCCGGCTTCTGGCCAACAGGCAAGGGACACCAGCCCGGCCCATCCTGGGTAATAGCCATTGATTTTGATTTTGGCCTGTTTTGATTTCTTGTTCTTTTCTTGTGTTTAATCAATAAACTTTCAGTTTGAATGGACGCTTTTCGGTTTTGGCCAAGTCACTGAGTGAAACCAAGGGCTCTGTTTAAAACTGTCCCCGAACCCACCTATTGCTGTTTAATGCTGGACACAGAGAGTTGATAAACACCTTGAACCCTTTGGGGCTTTAGAGAGCAGAGTCTATACAACCGGGCCGGGAGGGCCCCACCCATCTTTGGCTGGTTGGGAGATCATATTGAGGCTTAGGTATGAGACCAGCACCTGGTGCTTGCCTGAGGCAGCAGAGTGCATACCCAGTGCAAAAATTTCGGGGCCCGGTGAGTTTAGGTGTGTGTTAATTGGCAGCCAGGCGGGGGTTTGGTGGATCACAGTGGTGCCGAAAATTGCGATTTGGGTGCCTAAATCTGGAGTGCTCCAGATACCCAGGAACCCTCTATGATCTGGGTATGGCCTCCAGGCATCCCTCACAACCCCACTGCCTTCCCACCTCCCCATAGCCCCTCCACACTTATCAAGGACACAGGGTGACCAGGAGAAGGTTAGAGCTGGTGACTGAGGGGTGTGGATGTGGGGGGCTTGGGCAGTGCTTAATTTGTAATGAAAGAGGTGTCGGGGTTCAAGGACATGTTTTTACTTTAATAACTGACACGACAAGCCCAGAGGTGCCGGGGCTCTGAACTGCCAGGCCCAGCGGTGCCGGGGCTCTGAACTGCCCGGCCCAGAGGTGCCAGGGCTCTGAACTGCCAGGCTCAGCAGTG